ACCTTCTGTCACGATTTTTTAGTATAGTTTAATTTAATTTAGTTTTACTTTTGGTTTCCTGAAACCCTGCAGGGTTAGATTTAATATTTTGTATGTATATACATATAACACGTATACTGTCTTCTTTTATGATAAAGAAAATTATCAAATCATATCAGGAAAGTAGTGCTACGATACCTTGGAATGGAGTAGCTTTATTTTATTTGAAACTGATTTGATTCTGCATGACAAGATATAAGTAACGTATTTTCGTTCATTAATTTTCACGAATACTTATTACCTCTTATTTTCTATATTTAAAACTGGATTGACAAGGTGTAAATAATTTCTGTTTCATCGATCTCGACGAATATTTATTACCTGATATTTGCTTTCTACTTAAGACTGGTTTGACTGCCTGTCACGCGATGTGAATAATTTTCGTTCATCTGTTTTCACAGACATTTATAATATTTGCTTTCTTTCTCCACATACGACTGGTTTCACTGTGACAAGGTATAAGTAACTTTCGTTCCATTAGTTTTTATTTTCTTTCCTTACCAAGAATTACTCGACTACATACGCCAAAATGTAAATTAATTTTGTTCATGAATCTTGATTAATATTTATTATTTTTATTAGCTTGTTTAACTGTCTACAGTAGTCCCCAACCATTTTTGAATCAAACCTCATTTCGATGTTTCAAAAATTTCACAATTTAATTTTGTTTTCATTTGACGTCATTATTGCATAAACTAAAATATCGTTAAAGAAAATCGTTTCTTCTTCTTTGTACATGTCGAACCACTATAATCTCTATTTATTCGTGGACTATGGATGGCTATTGAATATATGTAACTTAAAGATTGCATCAATATGAAATTTTGCTATTCAAGAAGAGGAGCGCAGATATTTTAATTTTAGTCTCGATGAACGAATAAAGGAATACTTGTCGAGCGAAGCTCGAGCGCAGGTTTGTCAGCGCGTATTTACTCGAGCCTTTATACGCCCTATCGAGATTACTTCCGGGCAGATCCGCCCGTTTACATTCGCGTCGTCCCGCGTAGATCCCGATAACATCGCCGCGATCCTTACTCGTTGAATCTGGGAACCATAAAGCGCCGAATGATTCCGCTGGAATCGATTGCTTCCATGCAAATTGCGTTCTGAATATGAGCGACTGGGAAATCGTCCAAAAGAAAACGAATACCATTTTAAAGAGCTACTATAACTACAAAATTTCCTGTTGACGTTGGAAACACGCTACCACATAGCTGTTTCAATTGAATCGTGTATATACACTACTGATCAAACGTTTGAAGCGCCCCTCGATTTTTTATTGAGATCAAACATTTTATTAAAACTGTTATTAATTAGGCTTCTACAGGAGTATAATTTTGAAAAAAATTGTGGCTATAAAGAAAAGTGGGGCTATCACGTAGCTGTTTCAGTTGAATAACGTATACAGGGTGTTCGGCCACCCTTGGGAAAAATCATAATGGGAGATTCTAGAGGCCAAATTAAGACGAAAATCAAGAATATCAATTTCTCGATTGAAAAAATTATTTTTGGTTGCGGAGCTCGATTACAATCATTTCTGGTGAATACACATACCCCTGAAATCCTACCCAAATTCGAGAAAAAAATTCGAGTAGGTACTGAAATTTTTAGACAAAATTAAAAACTTTTTAATCATACTAAAAAAATTATTTTTAGTTGCAAGGGTCAATTACAATCATTTTTGGTGAATAGACGTACCCCGGATTCCTGCGCATGTTCAAGAAAAAAAAATTCAGGAAGGTGGACAAATTTTTCGACAACATTCAAAAATTTCAAATCGTTCTGGAAAAATTATTTTCGGTTGGAAGGTTTGATTATAATCATTTTTGGTCATTACACATATCCCCGAAATTCTACGCACTTCCGAGAAAAAAATTCCTTACCAAAAATGTAATGTCTGACCATATTATTGACATGTTACCCTGAAATTTCTTGCGAATCTTTAAAATGTCATAACTTCTGAACGAATTGGACGATTTTAATGTTTCAAGCGGCAAACAATGCGTATTTAGGCGAAGAATATGTAGAAACTGCAAAAATATTCGAAAAGTTGATCCTTGACCCCGCAAAATGTGAAAAACCCCATAGAAGCGGTCGAATTTACAAACGGCCATAACTTCTACGATAGTGAATATATTTCAATGAATCTGTTTACTGTAGTAGAGCTCGTGGGTACCCACAAAATAGCGTTAGACAACTTTTCTGTAGAGTGTCAAATAAAATTGTTAAAAATCAAAAACGAATTTCTAAGAAAAATGTGCCTAAATTTTTGTATAATTTGTGTAATTTTGAAAAAAATTCTGACTCTAAAGAAAAGTGGTTTGTGAAAAAATCTTCAATCTCTATTAGAATCATCTCCAATTACAATTTAGACAAAATGATTCTTCGTAAATGTAGTTAAAAAAAAAAATGTAAAAAATAAGCGAGCATGAGTAGATCTGGATGAAATCATTTATATAATAAAAATAAATCAAACATATGTATGAGGATATAAAGTTTAATAGAACTGTACATGTTGAGGGGGAATATAAAAAATTCTTGTCAAAAGATCGTTCACCTTGTTAATTTGTTAAAAATATTCTAATCTGGATGAATTAGTATTTACAGTAACGATATCTAGTGATGTATAAAAAATTCTCAAAGTCCATTTTCGATTTCCATGTTTACACGAATGTGCTTTCTATACTCTTTCTATTTCAAAATGGATGTTGAAATGTTAATTTTAAAAACATACGTAGCAATAAATGATGTTTTGGAAATATTTTACACGAGAGAAATAACATTTTTAAGATTTCATGATTTGTGGTATTATTAGTTTTTCTATATGAAACAAAATTATATTTCAGAGACTTTTATATTAGGTATGAAGAACAAATGTAATATTATAATGCAAATTTTATTAATATCACTATAAGTTATATTTTTGTGATTTTCATCAAACTCATTATTATGGTTAATAATATCTCTTATTTTATATATTTCACGATGTCAATATTTATATAAAATAAACTCAACCATCTGAACAGAAATTCTAAACAAAAGGGTTAAAAGATGAAGATTTACACAAAGAAATATTAAGAACCGCGACGAAAATAACAAAATAATCTTTTAATGTAACAAGTAAAAATATTCGTCTGCAAAGGGTTAATTCTCATTTAACTCCAGCTGGCTTGTTCCACCGCTGTTTACAATTTGCGGTATTAAACGCATACATTTTCATATTCCGACGGTAACAGTTCCCGCTGATCAACGATTAAACAAACGGTTTCAAAGGGAAGATTAATTTTCTGGCGAGCTAAAAGCCTTCAATCTAGAAACAATGTGTCTTTACTCTTTCCTGCGTTCGCGCATCACGCGCGCCGGTGGACGGCGGAATTAATCAGCCTCGGTTTATACAGTGGGCCGACAATGGCTTATCGAAAAATAGCGGCGAATTAAACGAAAGCCCCGACAAAAGGCGAGAAGACATAAAGGCTACAAAAGAAAACGAGGGGCGTGGGGGCTCGCAACATTCGCGGCCCAGGGAAAGACAGTGATAAATTAGAGGGATGCGAGCTGCATAGATGGCCGTTTGCCGGCGTTTAGTTCACATTTACTTGTTCGAGCACGAGCTAAATCGTCCGCACACACGACCGTCTACGTGGCTTCGCGGCCACCGGCGAACAGTCTGGCGAAATGCACGATATTCCGAATTTAACGTCTGACCAAATCGATCTTTTACTACTGGGTCCTTTAAAAACTTGCTGGCGCTTTTAATCTTAGAAAACACTGTTACGAAACAAATTTATTAAACTCCAACGCGAGTAATAAACTGTCATTTGACTAGTCTTTTCTCCCGAACTCAATAAATTACAAATACATATACAGTATTTTTATTTGTATCTCTTCTCTGCGTTTCTCTTTATTTTCTTATTTTCTTCACGTAATAACAAAGTTATATTATAATAATTAAGATAATTTGAGAATATTCGTACAATTCGAGGACATGAACACGCGTGTTTTTAAAATAAAAATTATTTTTACGGTTTTATTACTACTAGGAGATATAGATTAGTATTGATAATACGTTCCTCTTCTATCTAAACAATGCAATTTGATATGTCTTTAGCATGTATATACAGGGTATTCGGCCTTATTTCGAGAAAAAAATTCAGATAGGTGCCTAAATTTTTCGGCGAAAAAAGAAAATTTCAAATCGTTCTAAAAAAATTATTATCGGTTGCAGGGGTCAATTATAATCATTTTTGGTCAATAGACATACCCCCGAAATCCTGCGCATTTTCGAGAAAAAAATTCATTACGGGCGGAACTTTAATCGTTAATAACTTTTTAACGAAGCCCCAATCAACAAATTAGTATCCTTCAGTTTCGTCTTATTTTGCCCTCCAGAATCTTCTATTAAAATTTTTCCCAGGGCTGACCCAACACCCTGTATTTCTCCAATTATATTCTTCAAGAAAATGTAAAAAGAAATTGATTTTTTCAAAGATTCAGACTAGAATACCTCCTTAACAACCTTGTATTGTGCTGAGATTTTTCACTCTGTAGCGGCCATTATATAAAATCTTTCACTGTAGCTGAACTTTCCCTACGCTAATTATCTTCCAGTTTCGTTTTTCCGACTTTCTGCCCTATCTCTTTTTCTCCCCCTTTAGTATTAGGTTAAGGAAGTGTATATATTGAAGGGAGTCCTGTTAAAGACGTAGTCGCGTGCATAAACTTCAGTATCGTTTTAACCTTAATCTACGTGTGTGGCTACGTACCAACACACTCGCGAATAAACATTAATAATAGATTGAGGGGTTTGTTATTCGACCCTTCAGCCCCCTCAACTCTTTTCGGTTCAGTAAGTGCGCTAAGGAACGATTCTTTCATCCGTTTGGCGCGCAATGTTTCTGTTAACCAGCTGTCGTCGGGAATAAGGGAATGCGTCAGGCTGATGTCTCGCTGAAAATACTCACCGCATTTGCCTTGGAATGCCACCGTGATATTAACACCCTTCGCGCAGGCTTCTCTGTTCAGCTCGCAGAGGGATGGATAGTCGATCCCATCTGTGCCGCAGACAGGGCTCGATCCCTCGTGATCTCCTAAATTCGGGCAGGATTCCAAGCATTCGCAGGAGGCCTCGGTGCCGTCTCTACTTCGTACGCATTGCGAACCCAGTGTACAGTTCAGTTTTGCGCAGGGGTCCTTGATCGCTGTAACAAGAAATACCGTCGAGACGAGAGGATTAATAATCGTCGAAATCGTTTTACTGGAATTGTTCGGTCGAAATTTGAAGTAACATGGGCTCCCGTTTCACATTACTGCAAGCGGCGCGTGTTATAAATTAAACCTGTCGAAGGAAGCGTTTTATTTAACGTTTTCAAGGTAGTATGGTGCTTCCTGGTATCGTATATTTTTTAATCGAGGAAGTCTTTGTTTCAAAAAACATCAGTGCTATTCGATACTCATTCGTTTTCTCTATTGTGATGGAACAATACTTTTAATTTTACACTTTATTAGCGGATGGTATTTTCAATTTTATATTTTCGTTGGCCCACAAATCACTCATTTACATATTATATTTATGAATGACTCGTTATTTTTTTTTGATAAAATTTTGTAGATACATTAACACTTTTTTCTATGCAACGAAAATGATTAATTTTCAAGTTGAAATGTTAACAGACGAGTACGTTATAAGTCCTTGATGTCAAGTTTCACAATCATGAAGCTATTTGTTATCAAGCCTTGTATGTTAAAATTAACACATTTTTACATTAACGAGGAATTTGTAAAACAATTCTACTCTTTTTCGTAGCCATTCCTTGTACGAACAAATTTGAACAAAATTATTTAATAATTTTCATAATTTTTAGCGAGGTTACCAAACAATTACTGAATCAAATTTTAAGTTCTGTAATTTGCAATTGTCTGAAATTAAAGTTTTGGTCTGTTAGTCAACGTATTAAAGATAGATATGAATTTCTTTTATAATAGACAAGATTAAAAATCTTACTCACTTATCTAGATATTGTCAGTTATGGTGAATTCGAGAGAATATTCCCAAATGTTTAATATGAAATGATATAATGAGTATATCAGTAAGTATATGTAACAGTCAGTTTAGTCATTCTTATCATCTTACGTTTTCAAAGGTTTGAACATTTTTGTGAAGCAATTAACCAAGAACGATCCTGCTTCCTTTGTCAGGATACAGACCACCATTCTCAATATCTGACGAGAGACACCCCCTACACATCTTCCTGAATAGAGACAGCCCCTATCCCCCTTGTCTGACCAAACACAGCGCCTATTCAACTTGTCTGGTCAGTGCCCATCACTATTCCCCTTGGCTGGCCAGTAATAGATCGTTAGGACTCGTCAGCCAGATTTTCGATAGGAATTCGATAATGATTTTGAGAACAATCCTCACCGACACTTTGTGTCACTAAATACTATGCATCCGTTAAAGATTTAACCCACCTTGACTAATACCTTGACTTTGTTAGTTATAAAATTTCTTTGCAACCGTTTGGAAATAAATGTAAAGACTGAAGCACTATTTAAAATAGTGACTTTACTGGTCATGTTTGACTACTGTAATGATTTCTAATTCTTGATTATAGAAGATATTAGATAGAGTGAACTATCTGACTTGGCTGTTTCTATTATTTTTGTTGTCAGTGAATCAATTCATTTCATCATGATTTACCTAAAAAAATTTCACTCTGTCTGCTGAACAACGAAAATAATATGGTTGGGCAAATTACACGATACATTATATATGCAGCGAATCATAGATCTGTTCGTGAACGAGTACAAATTTGTCATCCTGTTTTAAAACAAATTTCACTTTGCTAAGGAATGAAAATAGTATGAATGGACAAATTACACGACACGTTCTGTATGCATTGAATCATAGATTTGTTCGTATAAAGAAAAAAAACTTATTGTTTGTTTCAACTGTATAAGTTTTATTTCTAGTCATAAATATCACAATTACCAACACATATTTTGACATTCATTGTTTTAAAATATGTTAACAGAAAATTTTGGGTACCATTTTTAAGTTCTAAAAAAATTATTTTCGATTGCAGGGGTCAATTATAATCATTTTTGGTTAATAGACATACCCCCGAAAACCTACGTATTTTCGAGAAAAAAATTCATTACTGAAAATATAGTGTCTGACCATGACTGTCTGTTACCCTGAAAATTGAAAAATTTCCAATCATTTCGAAAAAATTATTTTTGATTGAGGGAGTCAATTGCAATCACTTTTTATCAATAGGCATACCCCCAAATTCCTACGCATAATCGAGAAAAAAATTCGAGAATATACTGAAATTTTTAGGTGAAATTAAAAAATTTCAAATCATACTAAAAAAATTATATCTAGTTACAGGGGTCAATTGGAATCATTTTTTGTGTATAGACATACCCCCGAATTCCTACGCATAATCGAGAAAAAAATTCGTGTAGGTACAGAAATTTTTAGACGAAATTAAAAAATTTCAAATCATACTAAAAAAATTACATTTAGTTACACGGGCCAATTACAATCATTTTTTGTGAATATACATACCCCCGAAATCTTACGCACTTTCGAGTAAAAAATTCTTTATCGAGAATATACTGTGTGGAAATGTTTCCATAACTTTTTAACGAAGCCTCAATCAACAAATTAGTATTCTTGATTTTCGTCGTATTTTAGCCTCTAGTATCTCCCATTGAATATTTTCCCAGGTGTAGCAGAACACCCTGTATACGGAGTTCAAAAATAGGAGATTATATTAACAAATCAGAAGTTGCCCATCTCTCGTGGGCCAGTCCTTCCGAAACTGCAAATCTCACCCCCTGAAGGTTTCTACGGGGGTGGAATGTTTCCAATTGGCAGATAAATGGGCCCAAATTACCCCTTGAAACTAATTAAGTATGCTGAATGGCTTAATAACTTTAGCGTATGGTAATTCCTATTGTCAAAAAACGTACATTTCCCAGATGACCAAATTAAATAATTTAAGTAACTGAAAATACACGACGCGTCCTACAATATAAAATGTTTGGAATTCCAAACAACACTCTTTGCACAATTTTGCCATCGTCCTCGTCGCTGAAATCTCCTATGGGGGGAATTCAACATCGTCTACAATCGCCGTCGATTGTTTTACAAAAGAATTGCAAAGCAACGTATAATTAAAGTTCACCGCTCGGGGGACATCGCGATATCGAAAATCGTTGTTCGTTCCCGCGACGGGGAAACGATTTTGCAGCTAGGATCGACAGCCGGGTACGGTTTTGATCGATAACGTTTCTTCCAGGGCGTCGCGGCCGTTCCTAGCATCAAACGTAATTACAAACCGTAAACACCGCGCGCGGCGTAAAGCGGCGTGAAATTAAATCTGCGCGATTCGCGATGAATAAAGTATCGCCGGGCGCGGGGATGAAATACAGTCGCCAGCAGGGCCGTGACCGCGCCGCGGCCTTTCGTCTCCTTTCTTTCCCCGGGATTTAAACAGATAAAAACCGCCCGCGAATATTCAGCCGGGCCGACGGGCTAAGCCGGTGAAAATTTTTAATGGAACCGCCGCGAAGGAATATAGAACGGTAAACCCAATTAAAATGTTCTCCCGGTTCATCGTTGATACGATATCGCGTTCCTCTTAAAACGGCCACGCGGCGGTGTGTACGTAACGTTAAGTGTGAATTTACATTCCCTTCCTCGGATCGATCGTTGGAAACGATTTACGGCTGCAACCATCGCACCAGAGTGTTTCGTTTATCCTCCGCGCGTTAGTGTCACCCGTTGTCTTTCGCTTTATAAACGGATCGCGTGGGGGAAGGAATTATTTCTTTTCTAAAAGATACACGCGCGTTTTATATGACTTCGTATTTTGAAAAATATATGTTTGGATTTCTGAACATTGTTACTGTCGAACAGCTTAGGACGCGATGTTTAATCATTTCTAAATTAATAGTACGAGGGTTTAAGACCCTCAAAATTACTTAAAGCGCAGAATTTACTTATTTAAATTTAAGGAATATGCAACTTTATCATCTTACTGCCTCAGTCGACAATAGGAAATTGACGTATACTAAAACGTATACTAAAGACACCTCCCATAATGGAAGTTTTGTATTTAAACAACTACCGAATAGGACGAACTCAAAATTCAAGATTTAAGGGATTAGATTCAGATTTTCTAGAATTTGTACGAATTGAATCGTTTATATATCCGCATTGAACATTTTCTGTTCACTCGTTTTATATTTATACAGGGTGTTCGGTTACCACTGGGAAAAATTTGAATGGGAGATTCTAGAGGCCAAAATAGGATGAAAATCAAGAATATCAATTAATTGATTGAGGCTTCGTTAAAAAGTTATTAACGTTTAAAGTTCCATACCGAACGAAAAATTTTTCAGCGAAATTAAAACATTTCAACCGTTCTAAAAAAATTATTTTTGGCTGCGGGGGTCAATTACAAGAATTTTTTGTGAATAGACATACCCCCGAAATCCTAACCATTTTCGAAAAAAAAATTCAGTAGGTGGACAAATTTTTCGATGAAAAAAAAAAAATTTCAAATCGTCCTGGAAAAATTATTTTCGTTTGCAGCAGTCAATTACAATCATTTTTGGTGAATAGGCATACCCCTGAAATCCTACGCAGTTTCGAGAAAAAAATTCATTACCGAAAATTTCATGTCTGACCATACCATTGACAAGTTTCACTGAAATTTCATACGTATGTTTAAAATATAATAACTTCTGAACGTATTGAATGATTTTAATGTTTCAAAAAGCAAACAACGCGTATTTTAATGGAGAATATGTGGAAATTCCAAGAATATTCGGAAAGTTGTTCCTTAACCCCGTAAAGGTAGAAAAACCCCATAAAAATGGCCCAATTTTCAAACGACCATAACTCCTACAATAATCAATGGATCTTATTGAAATTTAGTCTGGAAGTAGAGCTCATGGATACCTACAAAAAAGTATTAAACAACTTTTCTATACAGCGTCGAACAGATTTATTAAAAACCAATAACGAATTTTTAAGTAAAATCATAGGGGATAGCTGCTAAAATTTTTCGTCGAAATCGAAAAGTTTCAAATCATTCTGGAAAAATTATTTTCGGTTGCAGGGATAAATTACAATCATTTTTGGTGAATAGACATTCCACCAAAATTCTTCGCACTTTCGAGAAAA